GCACTTGATGGTTGCTTCTGGCCTGTGCGCAACTCCAACTCTAAGTGGGGTGAGCAGGCGGCTGACTTCTTCCGATACATTCTTCACGTACGGAAGAGCTCGCCAATGAAGACTGCAAGCGGTGATTAAAGGAGCTGATAATTATAGTACGCATGCGGGTGGCCGCTACGAACTATAAATATCGCGCAGTCTGTGCATGTCTCATACTATTCTGCGGTTACCATGGTTAAATATTCTTGACAAAATCCGAAACGTCAGGCAAATAAAATTCTTGTTTCAGCGATCCCATATTCGCTTCAATCGACAGTAGTTGTCTGTCCGGTGTTTCGAATAGCGGCAGCAGACGGTAGCGGACGTAAAGCAGTGCCGTATTTATAAGGTGTCTTTGCTGCATCGTCACATACCTGCCTAACGTTAACAGTTCTCGTATTCAATGCCTACACCATACTTGATGGATGTGGTGGTGATGGGGCTATCCTGCATGTCAGTACTTAATGACAGCTAGTTAATCGCTGGTGTTGATGGATTGCGTTTTATTTGCTCGTCTATCTGACGCCTCAGTTGTGTCTCGGGAAACAGTGTTTACCCCGTGTGACTAGGGAGGGGGGGTATCGTTACTTCGGTGGATGGACCCCCTACGAAATATAAGCCGACAAGCCAATTATCTTCCACCCGCCTATTCAGCGCTCGGACCGAGTGTTCAGTCTTCGTGATGGCGCGCGACTGAACACTGACGATACTGATTAGCCTACTAACCGACCGACTATTGCGTCAGTCAAAAACCCCACCTTTAATTATGCGTAAGAGTAGGTCATTATCGCACCAGCTACGAATATTTATGATGAATAAGGAGGTTGGTTAAATGTTTGCACGGCAACTGCATCCTGTACCTGGTGTGATCCCCTCTTCTGGCCTTCCTTCGAACCAAGTTCGTCAATCTCTGGAGGAAAAACCGTCTCATCTAAAATGACACTCGTTTGTGTGTGTGTCGGCCGGGGGCGGATTTTCCGGACTGACCTTCGTAACTTATATTGAACTCCCTGCAGGATATCTCCTCGACCATATTTGACTCCGTCAACCAATAGCTGAGTTTTTTGATTTCAAATTAAGTACTTTTTGTTTACCTGCTGTTATTTAGTTCGCATTTAATTTTCACCGATTAGAGTAGGAATTAGGCTATGGTAGCACTCTTTAGTTAGTGTTT